TCACAAATGACAATGAGTTCCTACTGCCTACAAAATAGAATTATTTCAAAATGCTTCATTCTGAGTCTTGTGTTTTCATTTTTATCGTCCATTATCCCTTCATACGCCCTACACCTATACCAACCATCTCTGATTATTTGTCAGGGTTCATAGTTTTAAAACACTTTGACATTTCTTTAGCCCCAAGTACCCTCCCTCTCCACACCTTCTTCATACCAAGGCTCAAAAACATTTCCTCTGGAAAAACTCCCCATTTCTTCTCGTTAGCTACTCCTGTCTGGGTTTCTTCAGCATGTTCCTCATTCCTCCATGATTTATTCAAACAAGGTGTTTAGACTCTGAGCTTATTAAAGGCGGGGCAGTGTCATCCATTTTTTTCTCTAACCTAATTTTTAACTTCCAGCATGGATTCTTATACATATATACTTTAATTGAAGAAGTTAAGTGAAAATCTTATTAGAAAGTTAACATTTACAAAGTATTTGAAGTACCTTTTAGTTTCAAATAAAATCCTAAGATATGTTGATGTATAACCTACAACAGCTTAAAACTAAACATAAAAAAATCAAAAAAGTAATAAAACCAGTACAAATCACTCTTCATTTAATAAGATGAATGGGCCTTTTAAAGGAAGAATGGAAAAATAAATTCAGTAACTAAATTAATAAAGATACATCACTCCATTTAATGTTATAACCAAGACATTATCACTGGGTGGGAAAACGATTATAGTAAAAATACGTTTAAACATTCTGGTGTCTGCTTGTTGTCACCTTGTTTCTTTTTAGAGACTTCTCCAGGCACTGAGGTAAAACAGTCCACCAAGTCAGCAACCTCACCAATTACTCAAGTTGCCTACCCTGGTCCACCTTTGGAAAGAAGGTGTGAGCATAGAGATGATGTGAAGACAGGGCTGTAGCCAGAGTTGAACAAAAGATTGAGTGATGTCATCACAGAGGCTGAGATGGCAGTGGTCTCACCCTGAACATACATAGCAGCATGGCCAGCATAGCTGAGAAGAAAATATTCTGAGCAATAGTTGGAAACACACCACAACACTGAAATCCGTGTTTGTTTTAAGAGAGTCTCTAGTTTTAGATTACTTCTGTCAAGTGACTATGATAGCTGTTTTACAATTCCCAAGAACCAGTTAGGGACATTGAAACAAACTTTCTTTTTTAGAGATAAAATTTCTGCAGTGATTTCAATCTATAAAAAGCAAAATTAGAAAAACCAAAAATCCAGGACAAGAGCTTAGGATCTTCCTCAAAGACTTAACGACCAAGTCATTTCTGACTCAGTGAACCTGTAGGACAGAGCAGAACTGCCCATCTTCTCCCATGGAGAGGCTGGTGGTTTTAACTGCAGACCTCATGGTTAGCAGCCCAACTTGTAACCTACTATGCCACCAGGGTTCCTTTCTAGGTTGTTCTAGTGATACTCCACTATTATCCAAATGCACATGTACTCCTAAAACTAACAAGTGCAACAACTGATCATACATTTATTTTTGTTTTCAATGAAGAAACTCTACATTTCAAAATGTTCATACCACTTTCTTCTTTTTTATTTTAAAATATAACTAAATAACATACTAGGTAACATTGTTTACATTCCAGTGGTGCATGTTTAATGACTAGAGCATGAACAATTAAAAACCACAATAATTATCTCAGCATTCCTTACAAAGCACCCCATTCTGGGTTGTCTAGAGGACAGGAGTAATAGAACATAGGGAGGAGAAATGAATGAAGAAAGAATGGAACTGTATGGGCAGAAAGAAATGTCAATTACTATACTTAGATTGGCAGGTTTTAAAACCTGATGAACAGTATAATCTGTCATGAGAAAATAGATGGCACAGTCTAGGTAAATAGCTAGTTTAGTTTAACTTCACCATTTGGCTAAAAGATTAAGAGCTTCTCAAAAATATACCAAATATTGGGCCTATAAAAGTAATTTCTTTGTAAAATTTACTAAGATTTATTCCTTTTGTAAAATGTGAAGAATGGACTGATATCACAAGCAGGTTTCTACTTACAAAAACAGACAATAATAATTCCACACAGTATATCTAACACAATTTTCCAAGATACAGTGAAAGATTTTACATGTGTTTGTTCACTAATGCAAAGTATATATTTTACATATTCACTGGTATTGTGTCAATATTGGCTATTTAGTATTTAACACATATTTATAATTCACACTCAGTAAAGATATACCAATAAGGGCAACAGCTTACTTGAGAAAGCATAGAAAATTAGTATGAGGTAGTTCAATAAAAACCCAGTATTATTTGGAAGTTGTGAGAAAAGAACATTGTGCACAACTAATCCACAGATAGTATTTCTCAACTGTTCAGTAACCAATAAAAATTTTATCAGAAATGCCAGGAAGCTATTATTCTTACTAGACTCTCCTTCAGAGAGCTTGATTAAGAGCAACTAGCTTGCAATTAATTAGGACTTGTTTTCTTTTTGAGTTTTCTAATTGTACCCCAAACTATACATTTCTGTTTCAATGCCCCTTACCTCTTCAGCTTTCTTGCTATTAAGGAAAACTCTGTATCCTCTGATAAGGAGGGAAAAAATCTAAGCGAGATCAGCAGAAACACAATGTATATTGAAGAAGAAAAGAAGAAAGAGAGGAAGCACATAAGAAGGCAGAATGATGACATTGGATTTCTTATCGCTAAGAGTTTATCAGGGGTCCTAAGGCTTCATGCATCCACTCTACAGCTACTGTGTGACTAAGGGAACAACACACACAAACTACAACATCATTTCTGAAAAGATACAAAGCTTTTACACCTCAGAATGTTGTGTAGGCCTGGGCCACACGAAGTGGTTAAGTCTTCATGCGTGTAGCAGACATTAGCGGATAATATACACCAAGTTGTATCCGTAACTCAGGAAACAGCTTCCCTTGCTTGCTGCTGCTTTCACTTAGCCAATGACATTCTCCTCACCTTTTTAAAGAGCACAGCAGGCTTAGCATGGAATAGAAAAATGGAATGGGTTACAAGGAAGTTTGCTATTTTATACACAATTGAACTCTGCACTATCAGAGAGGTTGTGCATCTTCTCATTGAAAGGCTGGAGTTTTCTTAGCAATCTGAGGGGAATGCAGTGTGCCTTTACTAACTCAGAAGAGCTGGCACCAGGAATCAGCAGCAGCCAGAGGTGCACAACTGAGAACTGTTTAGCAAACAATATGGAAAGAGCTGAAATACTCTATGCATATTATAATTAAGAGACATCAACCACACAATCATTGTACAAGTGGTATAAATTAGAAGCTTAGAGAATAGCAACCAGTGAGACATATGCAAAAAAATGGTCAAAAATAATGTCTGACAGTAAGATGATGATTGTATTAAGTGAAGAAAGTTTGAGAAATCAAAATACTAAAAAAGTTGCTTTAAATAAGTTACTACTTGATAGAAACTGTATCTGTAATGAATTTTTCAAAAGCAATGTTTAAGAGGCTTTAAAGATTTATAAAGCTTAAACACACATGCACACACCAGAGGGCTTCAAAAAGTTTGTAGAAAAACTCATTTCTCTTTCAGTTCCATTTTTCCGGAAACTTTTTCAAGCCCACTCACATATATTTAGCTTAACTGATTTAATAAAGAGAGGAAGTTGTGTACACATACTGTATTTAAAAACCCAAGACACCCAACATTACAGGATAGAATTTGCTAAATATTTTAGTCAACCTAAGAAATAAGGGTTCATGTTTTCTGAATTAAACTGAAACTTACTGGTTGTTAAGTGGCATCTGAAATTACAATGATCAACCAAAACACCTGCTTTTTCTTGTTCAGCCAAAAATCCATAAATAGACAGAGGTCATCAACAAGGTCATCAACATTCAGATATAAGATATGGAACCTTTTAAAAGCGTGCTAGCTAGTTAAAGTGCAATAGTGAAATAATCTATCCTAGAGAAAAATAAAGTGAATTGACTGTCACGCTAACATAAACCTAAGAACACATTTATACTCATACTCAATTTTTTGCTGAAATAATGAATCCAACCCTGTTTTTCAATTCAAGAAACATAGTCTCAAAATTCTAACTGGCTCTAAAAAATTAATGTACTATGTTGTCTGAATAGGAAAGGGGTCGATAAAAAAATACTTCAAAAGAAAATAGAAATCATGGCTTTAAACTATCAAAAACAAATTTGTTTTTGAACATATACTCTAATGTATTTTTATGTCAAATATTGCACATTAATGTTTGCAGTCAGCATATGAGTCAATGCCCAGTGAACTTTCAGACACCAAATGTTGAGCTGTAGCTTCTCTCACGCTTTATTCGTCACTCAATCCCATGGGCTGGGGCCCAGAACCTGGTCACTACTTAAGTATGCATTCCTCAGTTCACTATACGAAATCCCTCCTGGTTGTAAGATAAAGTTGCCTAGGGTCATTACAAACAACATACTTCAGAGATAGTAAGACTTGAATGACATTTCAGGAGCCATTCAGTTATAAAGAAATAATTCTGCAAATATAAAATGTAAACAATTAACATACACTAGTCCGAAGCCAGACCATTCTTCACTACTCAACTTCTACATTTCATGTTGTATTGAAAATCAGATATAAAAAAATGAAAGGCTCAGACTAAGTAACTACCATTTATGCCTGCTCTGCTCAGTGTGAAAAAGTCCTTAGAAAATTATATCCTATATATGGCTGTGTGCTATTTTCAGATGAACGATATATTGCTCATTTGATATATCACCTACAGAAATCTACGTAGGTTTTGGAACCTCCTGATAGCGATTATAAATATGATTATGCTACAGCAAGAATTACATGGCCAAGAACACCGATCCTGGTGCTCAACTGACTGGCACTCCAACTCTTAAGAAATCAGAAGGTCCAAGGGCCTGAGATCGTAGGGAAGGGAAAAATGGACTCTAAACCATTACAGGATGGATAGCCTGAGAAAACTCAGTATGTACAAAAACAGGCTCATAGCTAGGAGAAGTGAACCATTCTGTTTATTTGCATTGAAATGTCTTATTCATGAAGTATCCTCTTGACTTTAGATGATCATAAGCCTTGAGCATGCCACAAATTAGCAGAATACACCATGGTCGTTACTTTTGTGGGGTGGGGGTGGGAGAGATAGGAGCGTAGTGGCAGATGCCCAACATCTTCAAAGAAAAACTCTGAGCTATTCTGGCATATGATGATGGCAATTTTGCCAGCATTCATGTAGAAGTCGACCAATTGTAAATAGGATTGGCAAGTAGCAATTATTGGAGGTTTCTTACAATGTTCATCATTTACAGTAGTTATTCCTGAATATAACTAACTGGCTACAAGTTATTTTCCCTCACTCTTCAGTGGTTATTTTACTGATAAGCACATAACCCTGAAGGATAGCATCATGAACAAAACATCTAAAATAAATCCTAATTTAAAAAACTATAAAAATCTTAAATAATTCATGATATATGCAAGTCACCACATAATAATTGCTTTCATAAACAAAATCTTACAAATTCAGTAAAAAAACAAACACAAAACAGCAGCATAAGATAAACAAATATGCAAAAAATTTAAACCACGATAATTAAGTTTATATTATACAGTTAATTACAGCAAAAAATGTACAATAGTTTTGTTGCTGTTTTTTAAACACTATTTAAAATTTAAATTACAGCACTTGAAATTAAAAAAATTACTACAAAATGAATTCTACATTTTAAAAAAATCGCTAAAAAATAAGACCACTGAATTGTTTTCAAAGTAGTTCTATCAACACCTAAACGACTCCCTACCCTCCCACTCCACCCTCTAATCCAAGTAGTCATCTACAACAGCCCAGAGGTCCAGATGATGCTTCTAGGCTGCTATCTGTATCAGAGGCCAACGTTGCATCTGTTGACACTGAAGACACATCATTGACAGACGACGACGATGATGGGTGCTGAGAGCCACTGATCACTGCTGCACCTGTGCTATGAGAAACAAAACAGCGTATCAGTTGCAGACAGAGTTGCAGACTGAGCTATTTACACTATAATTATCTCCAGTGGTAAATAATTTTTCTAGCAAGGAAAGAAATAAAAACGAATTTGCTATTCAAGACAAGAACTATAAGGCTAACTCGAGTCCTTCAGCAGTATCTATCAATCAATGCATGGCTTCTTGCTGTATGTGAAGCGAACACTCGCAAATATACGCAAATCTGTCTTTAACTTTTGTTAAAGAATCTCAAAAGCCTATATCACTCAAAATGTTAAAAAAGTTACTACACTATACACAATCACTATTTAAAATTATTTTTTACTTTATTTCATATACACAGCAGAATATACACAAACTTAACCATTTCTACACACACAATTTAGAGACAAAGATCTTGCTCTAGAGACAAAAGCCTTCCCCTAGAGACTTTACTATGAATTTGGACTTCTAGCTTCCCAAACTGTAAGAAAACAAATGACAGTTGTTAAAGCCATTCACTTATATTTCTACTATACTAGCATTAGATAACTAAGACATTTGGGGTCTTGGGAGCTGAATAAGTCAAGTATAAAAGCCACCTTAAAAGTATCTATCATTGTGGTGAGCTTAATATGTCATTTATAATTTTCCTTTGGCTCTTTGTAACTATCACAAGTATTACAGTTAAGTATATAGTTAGCTTATAATAAAATAAGTTATCTCCCTCAAATCAGCTTTCTTAGAGAATGAAAACTTTTTTTTTTTAAATCACTTTATTGGGGGTTTGTACAACTCTTATCACAATCCATCCATTGTGTCAAGCACACTTGTACATTTGTTGCCATCATCATTCTCAAAACAGTTCCTTTCTACTTGAGCCCTTGGTATCAACTTTTCCCCCTCCCTCCCTTGTGAACCCTTGATAATTTATAAATTATTTTTTTTTTCATGTCGTACACTGTCCAATGTCTCCCTTTATCCAGTTTTCCACTGTCCATCCCCCAGGGAGGCGGCTATATGTAGGTCCCTGTGATCGGTTCCCTCTTTCTCCCAACCTTCCCCTTCCCCTACTGGTACTGCTACTCTCACTATTGGTCCTGAGTGGTTTATCTGTCCTGGATTCCCTGTGTTACCAGCTCTTACCTGTACCAGTATACATCCTCTGGAGAATGAACAATTTCTAATGATAGTTTCAGTATTACTGCCTTTGCTCAACAAATCAAGAATACCAAAAATAGATGAATGCTGTCATCACACATACCAAATCATAGAAGGAAGCTTTTGCTTCATTGAAAGACAAGTATATTGAATTTTGAGTTTTTTCTTTAAAAATGAGAACAAAGATAATGAGATGAGAATGAGGTTTTCTGCTTCTGTCCTTTTAATAGACCGTTAATGTCACAGAAAAAGATGTGTATTTTATTAAGTTTCTAGTATATTAGCATAGTTTTTTGATATATTGATAGCCTAATAGCTAATTTAATTACTTAAGTAATTATGAAATTATAAATAATAGTGGCAGATATAAAAAGAACTTAGGCTTCAGTGACACTGAAGATTGAAATACAGTAAGGGCAATCTTAATCAAGTTTATATTGTAACCAACCTAAAGGAGAGGGCTGACCCCGTACTACTCCATTCTTGGTTCTCTCCTCCAAGTCCAAAACTTCCTTGTATATCAATTCTGAAAAACAGATGAATAAAAATCAATCTTTCAAAAACTGAGTCAATCTTTTAAGTTATATGTTTTAAGTTATAAAGTGTTAATACAGTGGCAGAGCATCACTCAAAGATTCAAATGTATCAACTGCTCCTTGATCCTCACCTCAACTGTGATCTATATTTAGAGAAACAAAAAATCTCTGCTGTAACTACTATGCCTAAAGGTTAAGGGTAGAAGTAGGGTTAGAAGCTTCATCTTTAAAAATCCTCCAGTACCTTGCACTACATCGTATCACTACTATTCTGTATTATAAATGCTTGTTACACACATGCATTATTAACTTCTGGATTTTTTTAAAAAAAATTTTATTGGGGGCTCTTACAGATATTATAACAGTCCATAAGTCAATTACATCAAGCAAACTTGTACATGTTGCCATCATTTTCCAAACATTATCTTTCTACTTGAACCCTTTGATATCAGCTCCCTTTTCCCTCCCTCCCCCATGCCCTTGTGAACCCTTAAAATTATATATTCATATCCTACACTGTCCCGTGTCCCTTCACCCACTCTTCTGTTATTTGTCCCTCTTGGGGGGTTTGGGGTTATGGTGGTTATACATCCATCATTGCTATCTGTTTTCCCTCCCCATCCCTCCCCAGGCCTCCCCGTACTCTCATGGAATCGCTACTCACTTTGCTATTTCTGAGGGGTTTATCTGTCCTGGATTCTGGGCGTCAATAGCTCTTATCTGTACCAATGTACACATTCCAGTATAGCCAGATTTGTGAGATAGAACTTGGGTCATGACAGTGGGGTAAGGAAGCATCAAAGGACTAAAGGAATGCTGTGTTTCATTGGTGTTATACTACACCGAGTGACAATACATACCTTCTGTGTGACACTTCTGTGAGGGAATGTCCAATTATCTACAGATGGGCTTTGGGTCTCCACTCTGACCCCCTCTCCTTCACATCGGTATTTTTTTTTATCTTCTGATACCTGATCCTGTCAACACCTCGTGATCCCACAGGCTGCTGTGCTTCTTCCATGTGCTAAATGGCCGCTTTTTTAACTTTAAGCCTTTTAGACACCAGACGCTTTATCTTCTAACAACCAGGTACCATCAGCTTTCTTCACGCTTACTTAAGCACCCATTTTGTCTTCAGCAATAGTGTAGGAAAGGTAAGTATCACACAGTGCTAGGTTATTTGAATAGTGTTCTTGTGTTGAGGGAAAACTTGAGCAGAGGCCCGAAGTCTGCCTGCTACCTTAATACTTTAACATATAAGTATATGTGCACAGACCAATATCCCCATAATTATATATTTGTTTATTGACATATGTACATGCCTATATTTATACCTCTTATGTATTCTGCCTCCTAGTTCTTTCCTCTATTTTTAAAATTTCCTTCCTGCCCCATTATCATGTTCACCCTTCATTTGGATCTCAGAAATTCCTCTCGTTACATTACATTTGACTAAACTCCACCAGGCATTTTACACCTTCCTCTGTATCGATTTTTGACCCCTTGTTGTTCCCTTGCCCCTGAATTTGTTGCTTCCCCACTCCCTTTCCCCCGCCTCCTCCCTTCCCATCTCTTCCCAGAACTTTGATCCTGTTGCTGTCTCCTTGACATTGTTTATCTTGCCAATTTCATATACAGACATACATATAAAAAATATTTTTTTAAAACTGTCTGTAAATAGCCCCAGTTCTGTCTGCTGACTTTTATGAATGTCTTCCAACCAGGTCTGATGACGTGCCAAATACTTCCCCCTGAGTTAGAAGTCTATTTTCTCGGGGACGTTGTGACCTTGCTCCCCTTGCCGCTCTGCTGTGCTCCCTTCATGATTTGACCTGGTCAGGGGTCAGGGTAGGGTTGGACCAGACACACTTCCCGCACTGTCTCCAGAGTTGTCCATAGTGCTATGGGCCTGTGAGGGGAGGCCGTGTCTTGTGTTGGGGCTGGCCCTACCGTCCTCTCTGTGCATTGGCTGCTCCAAGCAGGAATGTCGTCCTCGAGGCTTGGTGGGGCAGGTTAAGGTCCATTCTCTTTCTCGTTTGCTCCCTTGTGGTCAGGACAGGCTGGTCACTCTCCCCAGCCTTTATCTCCAGGGCTGTCCTCTGTAATACATCTTCTGGAGAGGGGGTCAACATTGCTCAGCTTGGAGCCAGCCCAGCACTCCTCTCTGTTAATGTACTGCTCCATGCCGGAATGATGCCCTTAAGGCTTAATGCACCAGAATGAGGTCTACTCTCTATCTCCCTTTCCAGTGGAAACATAAACAATACCCTTCCCATGGGTGGATTAGTGCCCTGATCCATATTGTCTTTATTTTTTCCCTATCCTTTTTAATTGGATACCATATGCATCCCTGGGTTGGGTTTGACCCCTGCCAGAGTGCCTGGACCTCTACCCGGGAATTATGCATTAAGTAACTTTCCTTTATGAGCATTGTGCTTTTTGAGCTTACCTCAGTGGACTCATATCATACTTATCCTTCCGTATTCGCTTAACATAACTTCCTCCAACTCTTCCCATGAGATGATATGTTTCATGTGTTCATCACTGCTTTTTTGAGAGGCATAGTACTCCATTGTGTGTATATACCAGAGTTTTTTCAATATTAATGGTTTCTATAAGCTTCTTAATTCCATCTCTAATCTGGGCTGGTACTCACTCATTTTGCAGGAGAGTTATTCATCCTTCAACTCTTTGTCCTTGTTTTCTTTCTTGTCCTTTTGTTAATTTCCAGCCTTATGGTCTAGTGGTCTGAGAGGGAAGTCTGAGTGACCTCTATGTGTTAGAATTTACAAAGGCTTGACTTATGTCCCAGCATGTGATCTATTTTTGAATATATGACATGTGAGCTTGATTGAAGTGAATGTGATTTTTTTTTTTTTTGCATTTGGGTGGAGAGCTCTAAAACTCTCTTATCAGGTCAAGTTGCCTAGTTGTAAAGTTTAGTTCTGTAGACTCCTTGTTAAGCTTCTTTCCTGGTGATCTATCTTTCTCAGAGAGCAGTGTATTAAAGTCACCTACAGTGTTGTCTGTGATGGCTTTTATCCTCTTTTGGAGAGTTTGGTTGATGAATTTTGAGTTTCTTGTTGGCCACATGTACATTTATGCTCACTGTCTCTTGCTCATATTGATCCCTTGAGCATTATATAGCGTCCCACCTTAACACTTAAGGCTTGCAACTTGAGATCAATTTTTTCAGAGTTTAGGATGGCAATCCCTGCTTTTTTTGAACTGTTATTAGCTTGGTATATTTTTCATCAGCCTTTAATTCTCAACCTATTTTTGTCGGCTAGCTTGAGATGTGTTTCTTGTAGAGAATAGATTGATGGGTTATGTTTTCTAAACCAGTATGCTAGTCTCTGACTTTTAATGGGTAAATTAAGACCACTGACATTCAGAGTTATTACATCCATCTGTGGAATCTTTGATGTCATTTCGTACCTTTTGTGTTGGGTGCTTTCCTACCTGCCTCTATCAGTGTGGTGTGTGTGTATAGGAGGGTTCATTCTTGCCTTCTTTTCACCATTGAGCCAATGTTATTTTGGGGGCTGTTTTCGGTGTGTTGACTTCTGGGTGGAGTTGTTCTATGTGGTGCTCTCCAATTTGTGTTCAGTAAATGTTAGGTGGGTTGACAAGAACTTTTTATAGAGCTGGGCTTCTCTTAACCTATTCTTTGAATTTTTTCTTGTCTAGGATGCCTTACTGCTCTCACTATTTTGATAGTCTGGTGGTGTAGAGGATTCTTGGATTTGCATTCTTCTTTCAACTTTTAGAGGATGTTACCCCACTCTCTTTTCTTCATGGTATCTTCTGTTAAGTCTGAGCATATTCTTAACAGATTACCTTTATAGGGGACAGCATTTCCCCTCTGCCTACTCTTATAATTTTCTTTTTCCTCAATGTTGGATAATTTAACTATTACATGCCTTGGAAAATTCTTCGTGGGGTTCAGTCTAGTTGGTATCCTCTGGTTTCCTGAATGGTTGTCAAATCCTCATTCATTAATTTGGGAAGTTTTCTTCCAGGAATTCCCTCGCTATTTTTGCAGTTGACTTACTCATTGTGTCTTGTTCTGGTAATCCAATTATTCTAATGTTGTTCCTCTTCATAACCTGGACAGGTATGTAGTGGAGCCATGGAGCCATGGGCGGGCTGGTGGGGGCATCATGAGGCCAAGGACCGAAAGCTGGTGGGCTCTCACAGCAGCAGCACAGGTAAGTGTCCAATGCTGAGTGGGGCTCAGGCATGGGCGTGTGAGGCCTGGGGGGGGGGGGAGCAGCATAGAGGGGTCCACCCACGGCTGGAGGCACCATGACTGGCAGCGGAGAAGCCCTAGCCACTGCTACTAGTTCTGCGGGTGGACAGTGAGAGGGTACCAGCCTGGCAGCAGGAGCCATCACATAGTGAAAAGGAGTCTGGTCATGCTGGGGGTGCCATAGATGGATAGCTTTAGGGTGCTGGGTACAGCAGGAAAAGCCATGCATGGATGGTGGATGGCGGCCTGAGGTGGTGGGAATAGCCATGCATAGACAGCAGGAAGGCACTGGGCACAACGAGGAAGGCTGGTGGGTGCTGCCCATGGTGGGATTTGCAGCATCGCAGGGTGGGGTAGTCCTTGCACCAGACTGCAGGACTCTGGGGCTCCACAGCAGGTATGGGTGAAGGTTGATTCCTGGTTTAGAGAAGAGCTCTGGATTGTTGTGGAGATTAACTATCAGACTGGGCTTCCTGATCTCCAGATTCACTGATCTCCATGGAAGTCCCAAGGTGAGCTGCTTACATTGGTGCCATTCTGCACGAAGTCCTCAACTTCTGGGACTTAAAGATGTTAAAAACAAAAACAAAAAAACTCAATGGCACCCAACAAGGTCTTAAGCGACTGTATTAGTGCTTGGTGGACGACAGATATCTGTCAAAATATTTAAATCAGAGTATGTGAAAGCTTAATCAAATGCTGTTGTTAAAAGACAATGAGTCAGTTCCGACCCATATC